TATTACCACTGTTATTAGTAATGAAATTTTAATGGATATTACTACCTTTACCAGGTTTTCTTGTTTTGAAATTTGCATACGCAATCACTAGCTATAGGGCTCACAGTAGTGTGATCTATTATTTCTTGTTTATTAGGACTTTCGACATAACCCCGTCTAAATTCAATAATTCGACCTTGCCCTAAATTTCGTTATCAATTTACGTTTTGTGTATTTTTGTCTTGATCTTTGGAACTATATTAATTTATTATGCAGTCAGAAAATACTGGATGCTGAACAAGCTGTATTATGAGTTTCTAGGCATGAATTTCATGTGTTATTCAGTTTAATGTCAGTGTGTGTATATATAGAATCGCGTTTTAATCCAAACATAGCGCAACTATATAAACAGCTAAATCAATGTTGTCGTTACCACGATAGTAACAGGAACCGTTCTCTTGCATGTATCATTTTACAGCGCTGATTCTTGGGCAGTTTTTATAGAACCTCTTCAATGATAGGATGTATCAATAATGAGAAGACATTCTTATTGTTATATTTGTAATAAGTGAAATGATTTGATGCGGTTATACAGGTGAAATATTTCCGGACTCTCAGGATAGAGCCTCTAGTCGAGGAAGAAACAGACGGAAAAAATGTTAACATACATATGCACTCAAGACACCGAGTTTTAGACAGAGATTGTATATACCCCATGTTTGCCCATATCCGGAAAATTATTCAATTTCATTCCAATTTATTATATGACAGACTATTATATGGTTACCAGACTAATACATTCTGTATCACTGAATCACTAGTAATCTTAACTTGTAATTCGAACCAGCAATCTGAATCTGTAATCTGCGTTTTGTACCTTCTATTCTTCAACGCCTCGTATATGTAAGTAAATGAATTGCGAGAACTACTTCAAATCGACTCATGTGAATGTAGATGTTCGGATATTAGTGACTCAAACTACCCATACGGAGCGACGTCACGATTCTGCAACCGTTACCAGGACCAATCAAAGAATAATAAATGGTTTATCGGATTGACATCTTCCTCTTTCACCCATAAAAAAATATTAACGGAAACATTATTTGTCTATCTGATTTCCTGCTCCGGTCCATCTATACAAAGTTGCATCTCATACTGTGGATAGATAGATTGTCATTACTAAATCAGTGCAAGTGAACTGCTATCGTTTAAGAGTGATATATATATATATATAACGCAATTCTGTTTAGAAGTGGCCAACCAAACCTTGCATGGAATTTCCCATTTGAGGGGACACCCCATTCCATTCTTGTAATATACCCAGTCTGCCGATTGTATACATTATTTTCAAATTATTTTATAATGACGTAGTATTTACAACTTTGTTAGAGGAAACTAATCAAACACTTCACCTAATAGCAATCAGTTATCCGACATGACTAATCGTGCGTAAAACAATTGGCAAACCAATCCAACAATATATTCAAACTGTATAAACACAATTCCCAGCATGACTGTAATACGAGTATTTTTTACAGTTGTGACGTAATACACAATCTGACCAATTTTGACCAATACTCTTCGCAAACACCTCGGCTGCCTTAAAATTGTTTATTTGACATCAAGGAATGGATGATTAACACAGCTAAACGATGCTAAAAGAGTTATTACATCGTATTATTATTAGATATAGAGTCGTCAAACTGGTTAAATCTTGCAAATCTTCTCACAACACTGGTGTCTTCTTCGATGATTTATTCCAATTTGGTAAACATATCAGCAGCAAACACCAGCGCATATACATGCATATCAGATAAACACAATTTATCTGCAAACATCGTGATATCTATCTAAGCTAATATGTCCCAAACTCATTCGCCACGTTAAAGTGCGAAGTGGATTACGAAAACGCATTACTCTAAATACTGCGTTTCCCGTCTAGTTTATAACTCATGCAGAGGGTGCTTCCACAAATTGATAATTATTTTAAATATAATAAACTGGTAATTATCAACCTCGATTCATGGATATCATCCGTGTCAATCAGCCCTAGTAATATTGCCCAGAGGGAAACTACATGGTTTTTTTATTTGAGCAATGCACGTGGCGCTACAGACTATACTATGTTATACTCTGTGGGTGGGGTTTAGTGTCGGGAACATGAAATTACTAAGACCAAATTTATCAAGCATAAATGGAAATAAATGTTCCGGATTCGTTATTATTGTATGTAACGTCACCAAACGTAATTCCAATATTAACATGTACGCTGACGACACTGCCATTGGTTATACTAGAAATTGTCCTTCCAAACAGTAGATACTTTAGAACTACGTTTTGCTTTGTCAGATGCACTCAGAGCAACCGTCCATCGACTCGAACGCCACTCCCAGATTCCAGCGAAAGACTAAATCTTTCATAATATAACTGCACGTACCAGATAGATTCAGTTTATACATTTCAATCTTTGTCATGAAGTATCACCTCACGGAAACCCCACACCCCCTCGCCAAGTGTCACTCTCGGACTTAATCTGTATATAATATGTATATATATATATATATAATCACAATGTGTTCGGGGAACTTGCCTCACTTAGCTGATAACACTTACACGTAGATATACCAAAATAATGCACATTAGTTCATTATAGATAGTCCAGCTTTATTCATCTCTCAGCTGAGGTTACGCCTCGATGCTTCTCTCCTTCTCTCCTTCCTCTGTTACAGTACTATAATCTCTTGCGAACCAAATGTGTGTACGTGATGACTTTCATAACATAGCCATAACAGTACACTTTGATATGCTAGGTATTATATATCTTTAAGTTGAAACAATTCATTCACCCAAATCATATTAAAACATACAGAAATACATCAGTTATGGTGTCAAAGAAATGTGAGGTCAATGGAGATCGGAGAACATTTAGTCTATTTCGAGTACATCTTTGTTACATGGAAGCAGAATAACATTGCAAAGATTAAAAATTGCTAAAAAAATAACATGACTCATATACAAATCAATTTAAGAATTTCAAAAAAATGTATATTCAACTAAAAGTGTATATTTGGCACGACAAAATTATCGAATTAATTTTTGAGGGAATGTTATATAATAATTTCGCATTAGACTAAGGAAGTCGTAATTGACATCATGTAGTGTGGTGTTGTCATGTTTCAAATGGAAACAATCTGATTATGACTTAGGAAGATATACAAACTAACGAAAGGCACCTTTTACTTTATCCACTAATGGTTGTCTTCCTATGGAAGTTAATAATCTCACAAGCAAGTCTACTTTGGTATCCGAAATTGCACCAGTTTTCTCTAAGTGAATAAATAGATCCATTCCATTCTTGATCTCGTGTTCATCTTTTCGTGGCAGCTGTACACCAATAACCAGATTCTTCATCTCTTCAACTTCGTTAGGGCTAAGATCATCGCTAATTTCCTTCAGTAGTGTCTTGAATGCTGGTACTAAACAAATTTACAAATAAAATCAATCAAACTTGTTAGTTTTCAATTTTGTAAACGAAACGAACGTAGCCGTAATGAAGAACGTGTTAAATCAAGGCATACTTATGCATTAGAAATCAAATGTATGGTCAACCAATCCCATTCATTTGTTTTTGGTGTCAGTAAGACTAAAACTCGCGTAGGTGGCTAATATTGTTACCAAATATTTTCTCGTTTTACTCTCACATTTAATTATGTGGTTAAGGAATTGTAAAAGAACATGGACAGACAAGGGTGAGAACAAAATTATTATTTTTATTATTTCAAAAATTAAGTCCGAGTAGTTATATCATCACGCCAAATTCAAGAATATTCTGTATTTATCACATTACTATGACAACAGTTTTTTGAACTATATTTGTTTACGTCACGTTCTTGATATATAGACGTCAGGGTCAGAAGACTACCTACTTGTCTGTGAACTTGGCTGGGCAGCTTGTCCTTTATGTCCCTCGAAAGAAGATCCAGCTTGCCCTGTTACAATATTTTATAAAATTCAATGAACTAATATAGATAAGAATACATTATACATATCAGCACATTCTCGTCATCTGTGACACATGCATGCTATATATTTTCTAGCAAATAAATATGCACATTATTCAATATATATGTAACTATGAAGTTTCACGTTCACGTTTGAATGAATGAATCATACAAGTTCTAGTATATAATATATGGTATGTTTGAATCCTGACATATCCGATATATAATGTGATTAATATGAAATATGTGTGAAATGTGAGGTCCAGGTCTACTTGATGTCATACAATAGTTAAAAAGGGCGTGATAAAGGAAACATTTTAAAACATAATTGTACTTGCATGTGAGTAGTGTAGTGTAGTGTATACGATAAATTAAATGTAATTCCCATAGTGACTGAGAATAGAGAACGTCTGACATGCAATAAAGTATAGGAAAATTGTACTATATGTATTATACATTTTATTAAAATTGCTATAGACTATATGAGCATCACATGGCAAGGAAGTCAGGACATATCTCTTGCTGTAGTTATTTCCCTTAATCTGGTCTATCTTGTTGTCTGTGGAACTTTTTCTCTTATTTCCAGTGCCAGACAATGTGTTAAAAACAGTACTAATAGGATAAGCTTACTTTTACTACATTTGCGAACCAGGAACAAATATCAACATGACCCCTCAAAATGAAAGCAAATCCCTCTCTACGAAATAATAGTATATGTGACACAGGACACATCCAGAGTCCTTGAAAATATACCCAGCCTCTTAGCAGCGAACGTTGTCGAGAAAGAGTTTTATTATCCAATACTGACAATGCATCAAAAACTAAATCACAATCATTGTTTGAAACAGCAATTTGTGAGTTATTACCTTGGGATGTATTCGATATTTCTTGAGAAAACGTTGTAAGTTTATCAGCCAGTGTTTTCTTTCCAATAGCTGGACTTCTCAAACAAGTAGCAAGAAATGTTGTGTTTTTTGGTGATATGATATTAGCATTTAGCAGTGCTATGAATAAGTCTCCAGTCTCCATTTTACATAAACGACCTTCAGCTATTTTACCGCTACATAGTCGCTTCAGTGTCGACAATTCATCTATTGGGAAAAATGTATAAAATATAGTGATTGATTTTTGTAAATAACTGCAAAAATGAAGAAATAAACCAAAACAACAAATATAACGAAGCATCGTTAAAACCACCTTGCTGTTGTGCAAAATGAATGAATAGTGACACCAGCACTCACACAGGTACAGTTATCATTTTAGAAATATTAGGACAAATATTAAAAAAAAAACTCATTTATACTTAATTACATGTATTTTACAATGTTGTATTTTTCACAGCAAAATACCAGTGAAAATTATGTCAGTAAAAAAAAATAATACTTCTGCAATGGTACTAAAAGCAAGAATAACAGTGAGTCGCTATTAACGTTTTTTTTAGTATCATGTGTTTTATAAACACACACGGTCTACACAAATAAGTGTTTGTTTTCGAAATATATTTATGTCAGTATACTGCGAGAGTTTGCAAATCGGCATCTGTCATTACGATACAACTTGTTTGCAAATTTCCTAGCCGATTTGTGTATATATATGTTTACTTACTGGGTGTAATATTGGCGGCTACTGCTTCTAATAACTCCTTAAACTTGGATTCTGAACTTTCTTCAAAATTAGCCATTATTCTGTATGTAATTAAGACCTAAAAAAAATAATCAACTCTTAGTTTGATACATTTACCTATCACGTTTATTATGGTTATTATTGAGATGAATTAAAAAAGAAACAATGAAATAAACAATAAAAAGTACAATAAAAAGTTGTCTTTTCTTCAATTCAAACTATTGGTAGTCGATGCCATGATTTATATATTAACTTCCTGAGTCATGAACTTAATGCCATTTTTCATGTTAAAGCCTATCATCGTAATTTTTATTTAATTTTCCATAATTGTGTGTGATCCAAGTTAACATTATTCGTGTACACTGTTATAAAAACAATCATCTTATTGTTCAAGTAAGTTTTAAACAGTCTGAACGCTACTGTTCCATGTTTAATCGTAGGTGTTCGTTTGTTTGGTTGATTACTTATATACGACTTCGTTTTCCATTGAATGTGGATTAAATATTAATCATGCCCATAATTTTTGGGCTAGCGTTCGCAATGCAGTGACTACATACCATTAAAATAAGATCACCATGTCTGGGATTACAAACTAAACGATGGAATACATTAAATAATATAACAATAATAATAATAATAATACTAAACTACTAAACTACTAATTAATACGGCTAGTAAAATAACTTATGCCAGACCCCTAACTAACTACTACCAACCAAATTTCGGTGACTTTTCGGTAGACGCATCACAGATCTAATTTCTAATTCTTATCTGCATAAGATCAATAAACAAACCATTTTTTCTATATATTAGGTTCCAGACACCCAATGTTTACCATTAAGCAAACTGTAGTTTAATCATGCCCAGTGAGTGACATTTCACTTTATTGCGCATATTTGTTGCAAACACAGCCTGTACCCTACTCGCTAAACACAGATGTTCTTTAGTAAATCATGTACGGTTTTCTAATCTCGTTCGTCAATGTTTTCTTCTGCTTTAGCGTTATTTTATTTTCAAAAATAACCGGGATATTACTAAGATGTTGTTTTAGTATAAAGATTCAATCAGCTTCATCATCACCATATTGTGTCAATGTTAAACATTAATCAAACAATGAAATATATGTGTTGTTTGGAAATGATAAATAAAACATGGAACTTCTTGTCTTCAATTCAAATTTTAATTTAGTACAAAAGAGTCAAAATAGCAGCATACCAATCGAAAATATTGTGGTTCATGCCATGAATGGGCGATTAACTCCCAAATGCACCTAATGTCACTTGAAAACACACAGATAAAGCAGACCCCTCATCTTTATTATAATGACCACAGTCGCATTGTTGAATTGATTAAGATAGTTATAAATTGTTTTTTATGTCTTCATACAATACCAGTTTTTCCTACATATGGGATTACTGAAACCAAGGATTATTGAAATTTAAAATAGCAACAGATAAACCTCAAAATTAGACCACTTAGTTTATGAGTCACAAACTCAACGGTGTAGGTAAATCATCGGTTCGCAATCAGATATCTATCGATTTCTCAAAAAATTGTGGTTTAATCTGCAATTTATGCACCTTAAAATAATTACTCATACTTACTTACTTTAAATGTATCTGATACCCCAGCGTCTACAAACTGTTTCTCACTAAGGCCTACTATATCAGTGGAAAATTGTAATCGTGGACAGTGAGAGGAATTTAACAATATTGTCTAAACCTGCTGTTTGACAATGTCTGAACGCTACTGTTCGGTGCACAATTGTTGGCGTCCGTTTGTTTGGTCTTTTATATGCGACGTATTTGTTCACGGTTAAATATTAATCATACACATAGCAACAACTTCATGTCTATGTCAGTGTCCAATAGTAGGCGTTCGTTTGTTTGGTGTATCATATACGACATGGTTTCGCAATAAATATGAGTTAAATATTAATACACATACTTACAAATTCCTGACACATAACTTACAAATGAGATCACCTTATTTGGGGGTAACTAAACAATTCAATACATTGAATTATAATAATGAATTCATTCAACATGATCATCGCTACTAAACTACTGTTTAATTTGGCTGGTAAAATAATTTATTCCTACTGTTAACAAATACGACCAATCAATTATTGACTTGTTGGCAGACCCCTCAAGGTTCATTGTAAATGATCACACTCTGAAATCGTATCTGCATCAGATCATCAAAACAAAGCGAATTGTTTTCTTCTATATATTTGGTTCCAGACACCCACTGGTTTTCATTAAAGGTCAACTATAGGCGGGGTAGTTGAATCAATACCAGTGAGTTAACTGGTATTTAGATTACTGGCCAGAAACGCAATTGTGTAAGTTGCTGAATCTTCGGTTTGCAATCAGACATCTGACGATTTCTCAGTAATAGAAGTGATTTACTGGCCTCAAACTCAATTGGTTGGTCGTATTTGTCGGGAGCCATGATTAAAATAATTTATCAGCAATATCAATTTTAGCGGTGATTTTGTTGTATGTCGTTTAGTAGATGTTTGGATCCAGGAGTGCAAATAAATTCATTTTTATCAATACAGCATACAATACTAGGTTAAGGGCAATGATTTAGTAACATGAATGATTTACTAGAGGTATTCAAACTATTAAATCGATTTGTTGCCTCCAGGCAAGGTGAACCTATTCTGATTTTAATGTGTTTTTAGTGCGTTGCTCCTGGTAACCAAATAATGGTGTGATTGTTTTTGTACACAATTAACTTTCAATCTGGTTAGGTAATTTAACATGCATGGTATCAACCACCGGTAGTTTCAATCTGTGTGTTGTTATTTCGACTTGACTAGCCTTTGAATTGAAGACAAGACAGTGATTTCTTTTTGTTCTATATATTTTTTAACGATTAA